AACAATGTCCAAAGAACTTGATCAAATCATGTACAGTTTTGTCCTCATAACTTGTTTAAACAATAAAATATCTTTTGGGAAGATACCCATTCTTGACAAATATTTCAGTGTTAAGAGTTTCAAATGATTATGCTTATACATATACATTATTATTAGGATAAATAATGCTCAGATCACCTCTGGACCTTCCATAAGATAAACTAATAATGAGTCTTATATTCCAGATGTTGAGCCATTCTTTCCTGATTGCTTTCCATTTAGAGCATCTCTTGGACCTATTACCGCTAAGACTACATGATACTTCAGTCCGTGAAGAATTCCTGCACAGAACATTTAAGTAATGCAAGAGACTTTTTATCCTCCTCCTCCTCCAGTGAAATCATTCAGTTAACCTTTGACAGTCTCTCCTAGCTCATCATTTCTAAGTGTCAGTGTGAGCAGTCAAGTAAGAAAACAAAACCAAGATTTTCTCATGTTCCTTTGCCACTAATAGCCAAATACGAAAGGATAAACATTTATTTTGCCCACTAACATTTAAAGTACATTCAATTCCCGCACATCTGTCTTGAATTCAGGGCAGAAGATATGTCTGTTGTTCGAAGTTATACTTCTGTTAGCAGAGCAAGCTCTGCTGCAAATAAAACTTTTAGTAAAATAATCTTAAATCCAGATGAAAAGGTTGGGCTTTACCAGCTGTTAGGTGAATCTGCCTGCCCTTCGCATAACTATTTTTCCTATTACATTACTTTATATAACTTCCTTCCCTAGTATCACTGACCAACAATGAGCTGAGGGCTGTAATAAAAAGAGCCTTGGTTTTCCATACATATTTTTGTTATTATTATCAGAGTGGGACAGGTAGCTCCATCAAATTCTGTAGATTACCAGTGTCTCAGAGCGGGGGGGGGGGAAATGACTTATTAAATGAGGATATGAGAAAGGTGGTCCAAAATTTGGCGGCAGAATTCTCCAAACTACTTCTAACAGAGCCAGGACAACCACAAGGTGCTATGCAAAACCTTACAGAAATACAGTTAGAGTATTGCAGCCATGCCAGAGGTAGCACAGTGCCTGAAATGGTAAACCCTGTTAAGAGAAACTTACTGAATTGGAAAAGATTACAGACAACTTCAAAAGACAGAGCATTGCATATGCTGGTTTTGCCAGACTTGTACCTTCAACATTTATAAGGCATGCTCAGACTAAGACGATTTTTGTGAACAAAAGATTAATTTCCATTTTGGAAATAAATACTAGATATAAATCTGACTGCGTAGTAAATGTAATATTTATCTGCATGAAATATAAAATTTGCTTTTCTTCTGGCTGACATCTTCAGATTATTTTTTCCCTTATATTTTTCCACACCCAGAGAAGTTTTTGCTTTTCTTACCCCACTTGTTAGCAGCCATAAAAGCCTAAACACAGAAGAGGATACATTGTATCTTTACAGGCAAGCGAATCAGGATGGCACTGACAAGCCTATTCTCTGCAACATAGTTACAATTTCAAACAGTTGTTACATTTCATGTGATGACAGACAACTTTATTAAAAAGAGCTCTCTTACATAAGAGACATGGTCCCTAAACGCAGACACAGGCTTAACATGCAATTATATATCAATGTATGGGGTATTCATCGTAGATTACTATATGCAGTTAACCAGAATCTTGTTGGATCTCTAATTTAAGCACATGTTACATCTCCGAAATGTTAAGAAAAAACCCCAAAGACTAATGTTAAAACCAAAGTCTTTTCTCTAGGAAGAAAATCTGAGCTATAAAGGAAAAATATGTAAGAAGTGCTTGTTTGGCATTTTTCAAGCTTTGGCTCTATCATGCAGCCAAATACAGCTATATTTCCAGTGGGAACATAATACTGGATAAAGGATATTTGCGGTATAGCGAAAATAAAAAAGCAAGCAAAATGCCTGGATAAAGTGTTTTGCATAGTTGATAGATGATTGTAAAAAACAGGCGTCAGTAAAACCTTGTGTGAAACCAGAGAAACCATGAGAAGACGACTCATTTTTGTACTAATAACATAGAGAAATGGCACTGCAACTAAAGAGACCAACATTTCTTGCAGTTCTAGCCTAGACTGTGTAAAATAGCTGGGAGTTCTGTTAGCAATTAGAGTCTACTAAAAAAAAAACCCCATAACAACAACAAAAATCAACCTACCCTACTTTAAAACACTACTAGAAAGACGTACTAAAGTTCAGTACAAATATGCTCTGAGTATTGCAACTACTCCTTCCACACTGTAAAAATATTTTAAAAGCAGCCAGGGGTTGGGAGTTTGTCTTACTAAACCTATTTCAAAGCTTGGAGCAGACAAATGCAATTCTACAAGCAGACATTTAATGAGGATATCATAATCATCAACAAAAGCTATTTAGCATATATTACAATATTCTTCCATTAAATGCTGTCTGATCACACATGCATGAAAAAGTAGCTAAGTGTTCAAGATAAGTTAATATCATAAATGATTCAAATTTTCAAGTGTCTAAAACAAAAATACACCAAAAAACCCCAACCAATCAACCAAAAAAAAGTTACAAGACATTAAATACATTTGCCCACGTTTCAAGTTATTTTAAGCTCTTCAGTTAAACACAATAGGAATTAAAACTTGAAATCCTACATTTATTAGGCGAATTAAAACCCAGCAAAATTGTTTTCCCTTCTGTTCTTGTAACACTTTGAAATTTGTCTAAACCATTAGAAAAATAAAACACAATGGCACACAAACCAAGGAATGACTGAATACCACACTTCACTGAAAATTTCTCTCTCTTTCTGGATGCTTTTCTATGGCTGGGGGTGGGGAAGGGGCAGGAAATTACAATTCTTCTGCAATTTGCATGAACACTGCATCCCAAAGATATGCTTTGTATGTAATATAGGCAATATTTACAAGAAAGCCATAAAGAAAGTTGCCCAGTACCATAAATTGGCGGGGGTGGGGGGGGGGGCTGTTCATCTGACTGCCTCTCAAATTTATAAAAAAAAATTGCTTGGGTTGTACTGAGAGAGATATGGGTAAACGTAAATGTCACTGTACGTTAAACATGGCAAAAACTCAAGATCACCACTAAAACCCTGGGCCAGGGGACAAAAAACACTTATAACACTTTTTGCTGTAGTTATTGTCATACATCATAAATCTTAATGTATTGTCCCAGCTGAAACCAGGACATGTATAAAGGTGAAAATATATCAACTGCCTATTTTGCTAATGCAGGCACTTTTAAACATTATTTTAATTTTTGATAGTGCCTTCTCATTATTATATTCAAATTGCAGCAGATAAACCAGTAAGCTATAAAACTCAAAAATATGTTAAACCCTTACTTTTTAACAAGCAAGTAAAAAATATTGCATACACAAAGGTGAAGCTAAATACTTGGGCTTGTGATTCCTCCGTGGGCTCTTTGGTTAGATCACTCGGAGAGCTCTGCATGGAGTGACTGATACCAGAAATACTTCTTGGTGAGATCTCCCCTCTATTTTCCTTGCCCTCACCATGCAAATTTCTTTCCTCCTCCTCACCACTTTTCCTCCATGCCTATTTTATGTTCTTAAAAAAAACCCAACACATTTTTAACACCAGGATCTTCCAACCATTTCCACAAATTCCCCCATCAGACAAAAGTTCTCTCATATTTGTTCAATCACTTCTGCACAGCAAAGGAATAAGAGCACTACTAAATTCTGCTTCACAAAGACTTTTGGTTTTAGAAAACAGCTATTGAAAGAGGAATATACAAAATCTGCACACAGCTCTTAGATGGTCATGTGTGCTTAATATTGTAATAGGATAAAGGTTAAGCATAATATTGTTTGACCCCTTCAACTACTGACATTCATCCATGTTATTGTTAGTGTTGCATGTTAAGCAAGCAAATTTTCAATGAACTTGTGTTGGCTTTACCACAGACACAGATGTTAGGCGGACTCCTTTGTTCATAAGGTTCTCATTATTAACTGAAACCAAGTTGAATATTTGACTGAAGGAAAGGACCATATCATTGTTTTCAGATTTTGCTCTATGACTTAACTGAACTACATCTGCCAGCTTTGGAAATACCAAGTACTGCTTGGCGCCAGTACTGGCGCCTTGCTCTATGACTACCATCTTAAGTGCTTCAGCTTGAGGAAGTCTAGTAACCATCAAAACAGTTCAATAAAAACTTAAAACTGTGATTAAGAGTTACTTGCCAGCTGACAGAATGCTCTGAAATTTGTTCTATTTATGAATAATTTCACAAGATAAGCAAATCATAGTAAACAGAATGCATAGCTGTAAATATGTAGCCTAGAAAGTTCACAAGATGTTTTTGTGATTTATGAAGTCTGTGTTATACTTGAAACCACATTTGCTTAATAGATAGGCTGGCACTTCACAGGATAATTCAATCTGCTTCAAATCTATCCAAAGCCCTTGGGAAACATAAGGGATGCTCTGAATATAAATGCAATTCTACTTTTCACCTTTCTGCACTACTGTCTCTTAGCATAAATGTGAAAAGTATTACACTCCCCCAAAATATCTCCCTTTACAAAAAATGCTGTTGAAGATGAAAGAACTCTGCAGTTTGTACTAACCCAAATATAGGACCTATTTTATACAGCAAATCAATTAAATGTTATAATTCACTTTTCTGAATTTGTCCTAAGGCTATGTGAATTAAAATAAACAACACATCACACACTTCCTTAGAAAGACCAAAATCAAAGTGTCTATATTTTATACCACTTAGATAACTGATGCCAAAAAACTATAGATGGCAATTCTGCAAATAAACAGTTTTATTTTATGTTACTAGACAGGGGAAAATAAGTGCCAGAACAAGCTATTTTATCAGAAAAATAGAGTGTAAAAAAAGCCTCTTATTAGTTTATTTTACTTATCAAAAGATAGAAATAATTAGCATTTCCAAATTATTAATGATGTGATCTAAGCTAGAATCAACAATACTTATTTCACTTACCATGCTGAATGTCCCTCATGTCTAAATGAAGGCTAGACATTAATATTCCAACAGCTTGAGATCTTTTGTTACTTAACAACTTGACAACCTGCCAAAAGAAACCCAACTATTAGTATTAATCTGCAGGAAAATCTACAAGATATTTCACATTACTAATGACAAATTCAAGAAATAGTACCTTGTAGTCTATATATACGTCTAAAAATGAGTAATTTTATTAAAGTTTACTTCTGCTGCATAAATCCATCACAAGTGTAACTGTGTCACCTAGTTGAATCTTAATCCTAAAAGAGTCATTATAAAAGTTCCCTTAGACTTCCTCCTTCATTAGGATGCACACTTTCAACTTCACACTGATGTTACTAAGTGTATGAAACAGGCTGTCATATAAAAAAAAATTCCAACTGTGTCTATCTTGGAATTGCTTTGGTTTCCAAAACCACACAATGATTTCCATCTTTGATGTAAGCTAAAACTGTGAGAATTTGTATTTTATTTGAATGTTTGACGTAGTAGGCGCCAATATGAATTTTATTTAAAAAGCAAAATAACCACGTACATATTGGGATTTTCTTTGATCACTTTTAGGGAATATAAAAGGTCTCAAAGCTTTTTTGTTTTTAAAATAAACAAAAAAATAAAAATCAAGCCATCAAAACATCTTGCTGTAGGGGGTTAAAATTAGCCACTAAAACACTTTTGTACATATTTGCTTTGCAAGCATAAAAGCAACAAGTAATTCACAGACTGTGTTCCACAGGGCTCTAAGCTGTTTGAATTCAACTTACTGTAAATTTTATACCATTGGTATGAGAAGCAAGTAATGCCAGGAAAAGACCCTTATCTGTAAAACGACGTGAATCTAGATGAAGTACTTTTCAATGCAGGGCTACAATCATTATGTAGATGGAAGAGGTTAATATTTAATCTACTCAGGTTGCTGAGTTTTACACTGTACTAAACACACTGAAGAAAACCTTTGTGAATCACTTGGAGGAAAGTAGAAAAGCCAGATAATTAGAACTGTAAATTCAAGTTCTTTTTACATTGCAGTCAGGAAGCATATACATATTTTTTCAAGTTACACAGCTCCTATATTAGCACCAAGGTGCTGTATCATCTACAGGCCCACTAGCAAAATTATTTAGAAATTAATTAGTAGAAACAAGATTATAAAAAGTAGAAATAATTTAGCCAGAGTAAAGAAAGTTATGATTCAATTCACATCTTAAAAAAGCATAAAAGTACCCACAAGATGTTTGCCCTGTGGCCAACTTCGAATCATTTAAGTTTTCAGACACAGGTTTGTACGTTGATGTTTGAACAACAGTCGAAGATAAGAAGTAAAAGCCTGAGCCAGATCTCTGTCACTGGGACTGCTTAGGAAAGGGAACTCTACAAACAAATGGTGCTTGCAGTATAGGCTTTCTGAGGATGAGACTGGCTGGCCAATTGGTTTGGTTCTCCCCCCCCCCCGCCCTTAAACCTTCATAACTATCAATTATGAAGGTATTTCATCCTCCTTTCCTTATAGATTCCTAACTAGTTACAGTGAAGTGAAACTACAGCATTCTGCTCATGAACTGAAAATTTTAACATTAGAAACCAAGTATGTCATAACTACCATTCACAAGGTTAAAGACCTAAATTCAAGGCATAGCTATTGATGTCATCTGTCAGAAATTAGAAGGAAATTCATATGCAATTGTCTAATCCATGTAATATATTATTAGGAATTTAAAACTGAAGTCAAATGGACTGAAATAGGATATGATAGTCAGATTTTCTGAATTCAAAGGGAAAACGTAATTCAGAAAAATATAATTAGGATATCCACACTATCCTTCTAATAGTCTATAATCACTCTAAATGTTTTTTAAATGGAACATAAATCTCATTTAAGCCTTGAACTGAGATAAAGCTGGGACAAATAATATGAGATTTTCTTGTTGTAAAAAGAAGCTATTATCTATTTACTTCTTTGCAGCTACAAAAGTTTTACAAAATAAAATAGATCTTGGGTAGCAAGGTATGGATTGAGTCTAACAACTACATTACAATAGACATCTCTTATAACAACCAAACATGTATTTTGCGTTCTATCAGAAAAAAAAAAGTGGGTACAAAATTTCAAAAAAACCCAGAAACTCTTTAACTGGTGTTGCTACCAAACCATATTTCCAGAAAAGGCTGAGCAACACAAAGAAACAATGTGGTATGTTACACAATAAAAGTTCAAAACCTTCTCCTTAAATCTGTCCATTCCAACAACACTGACAAGACTGAATTTGATATGGAAGATATTGGAGAAACTGTTGATTCCAGCCCCTACCAGTATTGCATTTGCTCAAGTCTGAAACACCTTCCAGTAATAGAATAACTTAAGCTTGTCGCTGTCATCAACATATAGAGGGAGTCCTTTGTTGCCTTTGTTTTGAACAGGAACACTATCCAAAAGCTGGCAAAAAACATGAAGTAAAAAAGGAATGCAAACCCATTCCAAAAGTCCTATAAGGAAATAACAATATAGTCGCACAAAGTGGCAAGAGCTCATCTGGAGTTAAGTGTGTACATTTCTTGTCACTCATAATCTGCAAAAATGAAATAAGAACTGGAACTGATACAGGCTACTACGTTGGCCAGAAGTAAAACAAAACAAAAGAAGAAAACAGAGTAAAATAGCTTTGTTAAGTGGTCTTCCTCAAAACAATGTTACAGCTGTGTTCAGGTGTGAACATACCCAGGTCCAAGGAAGGGTCGACAACTTGACCTTTCCAAAGGAAGTGGAACTACACTGCTCTCTCTTGGAGGCCCAAAGAGCAAGGATGAGCTGGAGTCTGTTCCTGGGACTCTCCCATTTCTAACGATGTCAGCACCCATATACTACTAGATTCACTTCAAATGGTGAAATCGCAGTTTCTACCATCGACCAGCAATGTAAAGCTCAGAGAGCTACCAAGATCAGGTCTACAAATACAGCAAGGGGACCAACACTAGAGGAAAAAAGAACCAAATAAATTAACTATGTTGTTATGATGCAGGCTAGAACATGATTTCTTAGGGGGTATGATTCCCATCAATGCTATATGACCAGATTTAGGGGCCTAGTAAATCCCTTCAAAGTCCTGTGCTCTAAAAGGAATCTGGCCTAAAAGTTAGCAGGAAAAAGAAGCTGCTTTTTCTGAAAGTGAGCTGATCGGCAGGAGAATAATTATGTACTGAGTGCCACATTCGGCCAGTGATCAGAAGAGAGGGGGGGAAAAAAAAAGCAAAAAAAAAAAAGCATTGTCCCTGTGAAGAATAGGTTGCCTTTGCTGCCAAAATTCTGAACCACAACGACATTGAAAGAGTACAGAAGAGCATGACTGCCAGGTGAATAGGTGCAGAACAGCAACAGATAAAGCATTTTTATGTAGCAGCTACCAGTTTTGTCTGGCTTTATTTAAAATGTAGGTTTTATGTCAACTTTTATACTAATCTCTACTACGCATTTCATTCCCATTTCAGTCAATTGCATGAATACTATAGTTTCCTCCAATAGAATGGCTGTAACAATACAACACTAATTCAGAAAATATGAATATTAGCATAAATGCCTAAAGCAATTCCCACATTTAAAAATGAAACAATAAAATAAATCAGCTGCATAGTCTGGGCCTACAGGCTACAGACAAATGACGCCATTTAAAGGCGGAACAACAAAAGTTTGATAAATCCAATCTCTACAAGATCTAAAGCCTCAGACACAATACACAGCTCCTTTTTAGTTTGGATTCTGGAACTCTGCTTTAAACAAATTTTTAAAAAAATAAATAAAAAGGAAGCTAGAGATATTATCTGCAGCCTGAAGTCTAGGACAAACTTTCTAATTGTTGAGTGGTCCTCATTGTTAAGCAGTAAACAAACTACATGCCAAATTTGATCCTGATTGTTTAACACAAGCAAACAGAGTCTAAGAGGTATTTAGTGAAAGGTAATGCAAGACACATGTTTGATGAGAACCCCTAAGCAAAAATATGAAGATTCCCTTTCCCCAGAATAATATTTAGTTAATGCATGGAATTTTGCAATGATTCTTGCTCTCTGGTTCTGATTTTGACTGCCAGCATTAAGGAAAATTTTCCCAAGGCCCTCACTGGTTAAGAAAAACTACTGTACATTACAAAAAGTCACATGCAGGAAACTCCACTGTACAAAGGCCTATAGCTTGTAACTCTTGCAGAGAGGATGCAGAAACTCTAAAGTTCCAAACAAGATGTTAAGAAACAGGATCAAGGTAGTAATGCAGTCACCTTCTCACTAGGCATTGTGAAAACAAATCTTCTCTGCAGATTGAAGTGTATTCCAAATGTAAAACTGGCAATCACAGAACTGGACTCATCATATCTTTCACGTGTATAACCTTGTCTTCTTACAGATATAACATAAAAATATTATGCTCTTATGAGTGAATGGGTTTATGCGTGTGGTTTGGGTTGGGGCGTTTTTTGTTTGTTGGTTTTTTTTGTTTGGTTGTTTGTTTTTTTTTTAAAAAGGTAAATCCAGAAGTGACTTCTGGCTAGTAATGGCACTTGTGAGAACAGAAACAGGGACTACTTCAACTAGTGAGGTCATTTTGGTACATTCTACTTAATACTTACAAAAAGAAAACCAAACCCCTAAACCCAACATCCAGTCCTGGCTGTCTAACAGCGTATTTTTGCTGATAGCACATAATGATTTAATTGAACACAACTTTTACCACAGAACATCAATCATAAAGTGTAATTTTGAGCACCTCTCCGTCTCCTACCCTAATCAAATCTGAAATCCCCTCCGCAAACTAACCGGTTACTTTCCCTACTGAAGGTTCTCATAATCTATAAGGAGATACCTAAGGTTTCAAAATTCTCTTTGTCATATACTTCTAGATGCAAGTTGTTGACATGTTATGCAAAGTAGTGCAGCCAAGAAGCTGTGTCTGCCAGGTTGTGGATGCTGTAACTTTATGCTTGAGGCTAAAGATTAAACTTAATATTTACTTTTCATTCATTTTATCTATTACCCTACTGTGCTTTCATAAATAAGGCTTTTAATGATATGCATGAG